TCTGAATCGCTTGTGGCAGCTTTTGACGACATGCTGTGCAAAAAACAAGTCGATCGGGGCACAATGCTGAGAAGCAACTCCAGCCGCAACAGCGGGTTACTACAGGCTACATCAAGGCAATAGACAGATATCCAAACAACCCATGACGGCACAGTCGTCAGAGAGCTTCACCCAACTTCTGTTCCAAAACGAGCGTATTGAAGTCTACGACTTTCGATTGCCCCCAGGCGAGAGCGTCACAGTGGTGCATGAGCTACCGACCATTCGATGGCAGGTCGATGAGGGGCATCACGGTCTCGTCGTCACACAACCACCACAAGAGGGTGGTCACTCCTCCGACAAAAAGGAAGAAGATGAGATTGTGCCTGATCGAAAAGTATTTTTTGTTTCCCCAGGCACTCAGTGGACACTGAAAAACATTGCTGCCTCTACAGCCAAGGAAGCAGGGACCTATCGACAGATTTTGTTTGTCCTTCAAAGTGATGAGCCCAAGTATTCCGAACAACAAGTGCAGGATTTACTCAAGGAAGCCATATATACAACAGCCGTTGGAACAGCACTTCTGTTGGAAAATGAACTCTGCCGTGTATGGGACTTCTATCTGGAACCAGGAGAAGGCGGTGGATCCGATACTGTGCATCATCATTGCCTTGACTATGTGTTTATAAATGTGGCCCCCTCAAGGTTGTTGGGTTTGCACCCTGAAACTCTGGACCAGAACAATCTGCTTTTTGATAGCATCTCAACAGACAACCAAGTTACATGGAACTACATACCGGCATCAGCAGGCAAAGATAAGGCATTTGCTCATGGTGGGAAGAATGGCTATGACGACCGGCCGATGAGAGAATATCTGTTGGAACTCAAGTAGTAGGTCGAACGTATATGTATGTATTCTAAAACTTCTGATAGCTATGTACATCTAGCTAGCTAGGCTCTTCAATTCTTGTATGTTTTTCCGAAGACCCGGTTTCAGCGAAAACATCAGTCCTCACCATCTATCTGATGGTCTTTTTCATCTTACGGAACAGAGCTTTTGTCTTTCTCTTGTAGCTTTGTTTCCTCTGCAACGCTTCCAATCGTAGTACTTCATACTCCTTCTGGGTTGCACTGCCATCTATTCGAATGACAGCTTCGGCTGCATTCAAGGCCTTTTCTGCTTCCTGCAAGCTCCGAAAGCCGCCGGTGGGATCTTGGAGAGCCCATGCCGCGAAGGCAAGTAGTTCTTTCCCATTCTGTGATTCATTCGTGGTCGTTTGGTTCATTTTGTCGCTCTCGCCAAGGGCTACCCGTACTCTAGTGTCTTTCAACTCGTCTGTGCTGCTTGTTGCTTCGTTGACTATCGACAGTTCACGTGTTCTTGTTTTAGTCTGAGTCTTCAGAGAGGATGGGGGGATCATTGTTTGGTTTCTCCTTTACTTTGTCGCTTGTTGTCGCTTGTTGTTGCTGTTGTTCTTTGCTTGATGAGTTTTATGAATGTACGATTTTGAACTGTGCTCGACGGACTTGTGATGGATTTGTTCTGTCCATGAGCCAGCATCTTTCTGGAAACGACAGCCACTCCAGGAAACTGCCACATGGAGTGATGTTTGAAGATTTGATAAAACATAGTGAAAATGATGTATTTGTGATGCATTTGATAGACTCGGATGCAAATGATGAATCTGGGATGCAAATGATAAATTGTCGGTGATTAGTCTAATTGTGATGAGATCTGATGGTTTGGTTTAATTATTATGCAAATATTGTACTAGTGAGCAAAAGATGAGTAATTTTGTGAAATTGATAAATTATGATGAATTGAATTGTATTTCAGATTTTCACCAAATGCAGGACCTTCCGCTTTGTATTGGCCCGTGCAGAGTTGAGTTCACTGGAGAAGAGAAAGCCTCCAAACCAGCAAACTCCCACGTCGGAACAAGAATCGAATGATTCAATCATTCATGCTGTCAGCCACAATGACAATGCTTGCAGCATTTTTGCTTGACTTTGGTTGGGGCTACCGTACCGAACAAGGAGCGTACCGGTATCAGGTACTAAGAATGCCCTAACTCTGGCTCTGTGTTAATCAAGCCAACCAGCTGCCCTCGAATGTCGTGCTTTGTGTCATTGCGCATCTGCTACTAGGCTAGTAGAGGGATGTTGCAAATTCTACTTTAGGCATGTCGAGAGGGATGTTATGATTAGGAGGCAGACATTGTGTAGTTTGCTGTAATTCTATTTCATGTAAAACTCACGTAGCTAATACAAAGGACTGGATTCTCTCGGCCGCAATGGCTGTACATGGAAATGTACAGAGACTTGCAACTGCACCTGGCTGGGCATGGTCATTAGGTGTGCATCCCACCAGAGACCCGAATAGTGCTCCGCAACTCAGAACGGTGACTCTCAGACAAGCTAGCGAGGTACCGGTATGCTTATAGGATGGATGAATCAATGAACTGAGGGGACCCTTCGCTTCCGCTGCTGCTTTCTGACGAGGTGCTGGAATCCCCTACCGGTACTGCAACATGTTGATTGGAGGGGGAGGCCGGAGGATATTGCTGGTTTGGAGCGTTCTGATATAGAAATCTCGTGCAGAGCATATGCAGGTCTCTGCGGAGGATCGGTTTCGTGTGTGATGCATCAGCTCCCAAGGAAAGGGTGCGATCACGCTCCTGAGATAAGACGTTGGCAGACAAGGCCACAATGGGTACCTGAATATTTGCCTTTCTGATGGTCCTGATCGCAACGTTTCCGTCCATAACTGGCATCTGAACGTCCATGAAGACCAGGCCATAGAGCGGCAATGACGGGTCAAGTATATTGGGCCCGTAGTTGCGACTTGCCAACAGGGCATCCACAGCATCTTGCCCATTGCCGGCCATTCGGTGTTCAATCTTGTAGGTGTTGAGCATCTTGCCTAGAATTTTTCTATTCACAGAATTGTCGTCGACCACAAGGACAACATTCGACCCTGGAATAAAGTTGAAGGGAGGCAGAGGAGAAGATGTCCTTGTCCTTGTCGTCATTGGCTTCACCAGAGGCTCATCGAAAGTCGGATCGTCTAGAACGCTTCGGCTTGTGAAGTCCATCTCAAACAACTTGTCAGTTGTGGGGGTGTCTTGTCCGGAAAGCAAGTCAACAGGTCCAACAGGAGAGGAACCAAGGCTTGCTTCATTGGCCGACGGTGATGAAGCTCTCGATCGTGTTGGATGCGTTTGGACACTTGGAGGGTAGGGCAACGAGCCGCTGGTCAGAGCAGAGCCAGTGCCCCCTGACCTAGGGTCGTTCGAAGTGGGGTCTTCTCCAAAGTTTGGAAGACGACGACACTCAAGAAAACGACCAGACTGATTGTCGAACGATGTGGTCTCGGTACTGTTGCTCCCTTCCGGGTGTTCAGTTGATAGCGTAGGACGACGGGGAACTCGTACTGGAATCTTCATCTGAAAGCTTGTTCCTGCTCCTGCCTTACTGGTGACAGAGATCGTACCGCCCATGGCTTTGATAAGGCTCGAAATGATGGACAGTCCCAATCCTGGGTGATGCAGGGGAAACGCGACGTGTGAGCGGCATGCTGCCTTCATTCATGATTGAGGGAATACAACTTCCTGCACTTGCCTGTTCCTCCGTGTTGCCTGAAGTCTGAGAGCTTCGCCTGGGTGTATGGTTCAAAGATAGTCTCGAGACGACCAGCGGGGATGCCGACTCCTGTATCTGCCACTGTAATGCTCAATACCATGATATCCTCGTCAGGGTTGGCAGCTTCCAAGGAAGGTCGCCGCTCACCGGCCTCGAGATCAGCATTGGCATCTCCATCCAACAAGGCCATGGAGAAAAGACCAGCCTCCTCGTCTTTCTTCTCGGGTGGATAGTTTTTGTCGTCTGTTGTTGCGAGAACTGACACGGGGCGGTCGCTGGACACGGTCACCGTGTGTGCACCTGCCTTGCGAGCAGCTTCTTGTTCCGCCAATTCTTCTGAATCGTTGGCCATTCGTACCATCATATCGATCTTGCCCGACGATGTGAATTTGGCGGAATTGGACAGGAGGTTGTAGACGATCTGAAGGATCCTACAAGAATCGCCAATGATGATTTGGGGTATCTTATCCGCATCCATGGCAAAGTGCAGTCTCACGCCGCCCTTGTGCTTTCGGTCGACTTGGCGTGTCATGTTCTCTCCCAAACGCCTCAGCAGTGAGTGCAAATCAAACTCGCGACTTTCCAGCTCCAACTTGCCACTATCAAGTTTGCTCAGATCCAAAACATCGTTGACAAGGCGGAGCATGAGCAAACTAGAGTCGCAGATGCTTGAAACTTCCTCGGCTTGTTCTGCGTGCAATTCTGTATCCTTCAGGAACTCAGCACTGCTGGTAATCGCGAAAAGTGGGTTTCTGGGCGGAAGATAGTGAGATCAGCTCCTCTTCGTGTGCAATCCTTCCGCAACCAATACACAGTACCGGTACTTTCTTACCTGATCTCATGGCACAGAAACGCCATGAATGTGAACAACTTCGACTTGGATTCTCTGCTTTCATTCGTCAGTCGATTCAAAGATTCGTCCAAAAGAGAAAACATGCTTGGAATCAAGGGAACCAGGTACAACGCGGTCACAATGGAAACCAAAGCTGTGGCCACATTCACGTAAACAAATGCGTCCGTGTGTCCATATCCAGAGTATCGCATCAAGTGACCAGCGCCACAGAGAAAGATGAAAAAGGCAAACAAGACCAGTGTCACAACCAGCTTGAATGGGACCTTTCGCCCGGGAGGCGACTTCCATAAGGAAACCAAGATTTGTAGCGGAATCGAAAAGTAGGCCACGGTGATGGCGAGATCACAAGCGTTGACCAACTCCATGGTGGCTTGTGGATGCGGATATTGATTGTAATGGGTGATGTGGAGGACAGCGTTCGGTCTCTGATTTTGCACTATTCGAGTGTGGAGAATGAGACGAGCAAAGGCTTGCAAATGAACTTTGCTGGGGCAACGCTAGTGATGGACCTGGAGATGTGCGTTGCTCCAGCCTCCGGAAGATGTTCAATGGTGATCATCCCTGTCCGCAAACTTGCAACTGGCTACCACTGTTGAAGTTCCGAAGGCCGAAGGAATCGAATCAATCATCAATCATGAAATCTTGCACCAAAAATTTAACTAGAAAGTGTAGGTTACAGATGTTTCAAAACGAAGGAAAGCGAAAAACGCAAACGAAACTCTTGGAAAAGATCCTGTTGAAGAGCTGTTGGAAGTTTCGCGGCAAGCTCTAGCTAGCATGTCCCTTCGTATGGGTTCCTGAGCCACAGCACCTTTTTTTACGGAAGACTCACCACTCACTTGAGCTACCGTACAGCGTACAGTATCAACCGCCATGCAGTAGCATCCTCACTCATCCAGGTTCTTTCAACTTGGTGTGTCAGCCTTTCGCAACCAACCATGACCTTGTCAACATGGAACTAACCGGATAGCTGGCAAGGTAACTACTAGCTAGCTAATTCTTGGGTAGGTGGGCTTTCGTTTCTCCGGTGGCCAGCAGGATACCGAAGAAAGGAGTATGGGACAGTACAATCTGAAAACTGCCAAATCAATCGAAACATTCTCGCAGCCAACCTTCGCCTCATAGTCTCTGTCACCGGTCTAGCCTTCTAATAAGGCCCACCACGAGAGGATAACGTTCCACCAACACACGCACCTAGCTCGAGTCCTGAATAGTACGGTCGACAACACTACAAGTTCTACAGCTGGTACTCCCGTGATGGCCAGTAGCCCCCCACCGCGAAGTTGCGGCGGGGTATTTGACATTCGTTTATCATTAAATTCTTGTTTGAGTGAGGGTTGTCTTGTTTGGTTAGCTGTGGTTGGTAGCAGAAATGCAAAGGAAGTGAAAGTGTAATGCTCTTGAGTAGGCGAGTGTTCAGTACCTCAGGGGATTTGTATTCAATCATTCACTGATCGGCAGGCTGTGGCGGTTCAGATTTGAGGGTCATGGCTTCAAAGACTTGGAAGGAGAACGAAAGGTCGTGGTTTCCATTGTGGGCTTGGACAAATCATTTGCTCGCTCGGCAGGTGATGACTTCATGACTTCACGAGTGAGGACTGTGCGGAATTGCGCTGATCTGTAGTGTTGGCAAGTTCATTTTGCGGGCTGTGCGTTCAGGAAGGCGTCAGAGTTGTGATTCAAAACATAGGCTTTGACACAAGTCCTTAGGCAACAATCGATGAAATCATTTGCTTCAAAGGATCGACAAAGGCCGGGCTTTTGGGTTCCGCCAGCAGGCGGCCATCATTCCTTTTGTAGGGTGGCTGTGGCTATACCGGTAAGCATCCTGTCGTCGGACTGCTTGGATCGACGTGAGAGATGTGCACATCAGGTCAAAGGGCTGTGGTTTCAAAAGCTTGACAAGGCCAGCGAATCGGCAGTTGAGGGCATATGCGTCATAAGCTTCGTCATTGCAAGGTCAAAATCACAAGACCAATAGGCTTTTCAAGAGTAAGTTCGGTCGGGCTTGAGAGCAGTAGTGTCAATCGTATCGAAGGTAAAGGCTTGATTTCTGATAGGTGTTGGGAGAGAGGGTTCTGGTTTGGTTATTTGTGCGAAAAGATTTCGATTCATATCATAAGTTTGGATATCGGAGCTTCATCGTGGGTTGCATTGTATTGGTGGTGTTCAAAAAGTGGTCAAGATAATTCTGTAGTTTGTGTTGTTGTAGTAATAATTGTAGTAGTAGTAGTAGTAGTTCTTGTTGTTGATGTTAATAAAGTCTGTATGTGTCATAATTCAATAGTGTTCTGGGAAGACTCGTCAGTCTAATCTCATTGTTTCTTCGTTTTCGGCACAAGTATGGTATATGTGTCTCCTCCACCATTCTCTACTTTCGGACCGCAAGTAGAGAAAGGTTGTTGCCTAGCTACCAGGTAGCTAGCCAGATAGTAGGCACGGAAGAAGAAGACACACCCGTCTTGCTGTGGTGGTCAACCCAGCCATCTCTCCCAGCAAAGCGACGTCTCGCAGAGCAACCAGGGAGTATGTCCTGCATGTGTGGAGCAAGGTGTTGCAACAAGGGCTTCTCAAGCTAGACTGTTGAGCCAATGTTGGACAGCCGCTGCTGCCTTGGCGGCATTGTGAGCGGTTCAAGGCAATTTGTACGGACGGATGACGGACCGTCCATTTGAAACATTCCCCGCTAGGGAAACTCGCCGGATCACACCACAAGACAGCTTTTTGTCAAGTAGATGCGGTAAATATTGGGTTAAAATTATGTTTTACTCTGTAAATTTGAATAGGAAGTAATTGTTCCCGCACCTACCTGAATCGGAAAGACATCTTCCCGAGCGCTCGAACGGCAAAATGACAAAATGACAATGTCACGAACGCTCGAGAGAGAAGTTCTTGGAGAGGGAAAGAAATCAAAAACCAGATTGAACTTGACACGTTGACCTACTCGTACACTGGTAACATTACTTTAGCTATGTACCGGTATGTTACTGATCTACCTGTATTCTGTTCCTCCTTCCTGCTTTCAGCCTGAGTGGAGTCGAGTCGACCGGAGTCGAGGGCTCAGTCAATTCCGTAGCGGTGCAATGGTCTTCTCCGGTCCATGGATTGATAGAAGGTAGATGTACTGTGGTAACAAGCCTCCGAGTGACCTTTGAGACTGACATCGCTCCTGGTGGTACTGTACGTTCCATGAAGGTCAACAAGAATGGAATCAAATCAAATCCAGAAGCGGGCACAACACAGTTCTGCTCTCCTGTGAGAAGAAGACAACACCGTCACACAGTAGCTAGACCCTAGACCTAGCTATTAGCTCTGTTTCTGCTACTCCAGAAGCAGTAAGATAAGAAGTGCTCGGTTTACAGCGCTGAATTCGAATTGCACGAAATCAGAACCATTCTTGCTGCCGGAACTCCTTCGACTGTGCCAGCCAGTACTAGTATACAGTAGCTAGAGCAGTGTACGGCTGTAGGACCCAATCTTTTGCTCTGGCTTGCAGCGAAGAGGGTTATCCCTCGTCTGCCATAGTACCAGGCTGACCTCCCAGCTGCTCCATCGACAGACGCTACCACCCAACTACCAACTGGTACCTGCCACCTGCCACACAGAATCGAATCAGCCACTTGGTCACCTCCTCCTTGGATCACTGAGCTAGTGAGGGGCTGCATTGCTAGCTAGTATGCAAAGCCCTACAACAGTCCATGATGCAGCATCTGCATCACTTCCGCACCCCCATCTTGGATCACAGAGGCATAGGGGCAGGGGCCACTGTACTATTTTAAAATAGCTAGGAGGCTCTGTTGCGAGTTACACGGAACGGAAGTTGGTCGCCGCAGCTGTCCCCACCATTGACAACAGCCACTACTACCGTACCGGTAGCTGCAAGTACTACTAGCTAGCTAGCTAGACGGAAGCCAGACCACCATTGACAACAGCCCTTGTGCAATATAAGATCAAAAAGACGTACCGGTACACCGGTACTGCTTACCGGTACCGGTTCGGTACCGGGAAGACAACTTTGGAGTTCAAGTAGCTGCGGTAAATTATAGTTTCATACAAAAATACAGAGTAAAACATAGCTTTAACCCTACATTTACCGCAACTACCATTCTAAACCAGTCTTCCGGTATTGACACTCTCAAGTATTCTACTACTGAGTATACTACTAGCTAGCTAAAGTCTACGTACATGAGTATACATACAATGTCATGTGCATGAGTACCGGTACTAGCCAGTCAGTCAGCCAGACAGCATGCATACATGTATATATTATGAATATGAAAGTATCACGAGATCACGAGTAGAATGTCAGACCCATTTGATCCAGACCGCCTGCCCCTCAATAATTAAAGGCAGCATTTATCGATGTCCAAAGAGAAGAACAACAAAACAGGGAAGTGCTTCTCTTTCTTAAATATGGAAGCATCCTGGAACATTCCTATTAACAATTGTTTACAAGGCTTCTTTTCTTTGATGGTAAAACTCCAAGATCAAGAATGTCGAGGACATTGAAAGCAGCGCGATTAAAGTCAGTCTCAATCTAAAGGAAAGTGTTAAAATATGCACCAGGTCTCCTGTTTTGGCAGACGACTTGGTTAAACAAGTGTCAAGGCGTAATCAGAGAAAGGATTCTTTTCTTCGAAGAATGCACGTAATGATACGTATTCACTTCTGCTTCAAGGCGAGGCTATTCATTTTAATCTTTCATTTCCACCCATAACAAGTTATGCTCCTTGAGAAAGCAGGATTGCGAGAAGTTAACAAAAAGAATGCAAAAGACATCCGCAGATATAAGGCCAAGATACAAGGCTCTGCAGGTGTCAGGCCTGCACCAAAAAAGATACTGGTGTCAAGCTGGTAGAAAGCTGTCAACGTCACTTGATTACTGTAATTGCTATAGTAAAGCTTTTGGGGTAAACTTTGGGATTTTGGGGGATCCCAACTTCATTTTCAAAACCCACAAACAAAGCAAGCAAAACACCGCAATGACGAAATGGCAAGAAGGGACGGCCATCATACAAGACGAGTTATGGACAAACAGCGGACCGACTCAAGAAAGATGAGGGGTAAGTGGTCTTGAAGAGGATGGTGGAGTCGGTCCAGTAGATACCAACAATTGGTTGTGATACAGTCCAATCCATGATGGTCTAAATGGGTTGTTGTGTTGCTTCGTGTTGTTTCGCGTGTTGTTGATGGCCTCTAGTAGCTTGTTATCTTGTTCATTTGAAGGGGTACCCCAAAATCGGGTTATCAAAGGAAAATCCCCTTCTCCGAGAGAGCGCCCAACTGGATAATGGAAGTGATGCGAACAGATTGTGCAAAATTTGGTGGTTGTTATTGGTCTGAGATTTGTCTGTTCTTTGCGAGTTTCCCATGCTTAAGAGGATCATTCACTGTGACTAAAATAGAGCTATTTTCATCAGCTGCGACACCCTGTTGTTTTAGATTGGGTCAAGACAGCTGCAGCAATTGCCCACCGCGATGTCTTTCAACCAAAAGGCTTCACCACCGTAGGCCAATACCAAATCTCTACAGGGAAGCAAAAGTGAAGCAAAGATACCTTCGACTTTCAACCACATTGGTTGAGTGAGCTAAGCCATCCTTCCATAAAACTCCACAGAAAACAGTGAAAACAGTGAAAACATTCCAGCTTGCTAAACCTTTGCCTTTGTTTGATCCGAGCGAAAAGACGTGCTCTTGCTACCGTCCTGTTATCATCCTTAGAACAAGCCAAGCCAAGCCAACCATGAAGATAAGCAAGGGATCTGCTCACAAGTCTCAGCGCCGGGAGTCCAAAACTCGAGGCTCCATTTCCGATGCCAGCAACTGCGATGCATTGCCCGACGATCAGGAAGGAATTGCCCGTGGCGGTGTGGCCACGCCCTTTCCTTGGAAGCTCCATGAAATGCTAGAAGACTCTGCCACGGAAGGCAATGAATGGATTGTCAGTTGGCAGTCTCATGGTCGCAGCTTTCTGGTCCACAAGCCCAAGCTTTTCGTCGAAAAGATCATGCCCACCTACTTCAACCAGAGTAAGTTTGCCTCCTTCCAAAGGCAACTGAATTTGTATGGTTTCTCCCGCTTGACAACTGGCAAAGATAAGGGTGCCTACTACCACTCCTGCTTTGTCCGTGGCCATCGTGGTCTCTGTCGCGGGATGGTTCGCCAGAAGATCAAGGGCACCAAGGTCCGACGCACATTAGCCCCTGAGGAGGAACCTGATTTCTACAAGATGACATCCACACCTGTGCCCTTGGGTCCAGCGTCTATGCCTCCTTTGGGAGAGGACGAAAGTGCAGATGAAGTGACCGACAAGCGTTCTACAAGTCCCCGAAGGAGGAGCTCGACCGCCAGCAGCAGCTCCCGTGGATCGATTGCCAAGAGTTCCGGAGTGCTCTCCGCCAAGGAGCGCGCCCTCAAGTTGCGCAGCCTCAGTGTTGTTCGCGACGCGCTCAAGCAGACGGAAATGTTCTGTGGTGACAGTAACATGGACTTTGACGACCGTGCCGCCAAGGTTAGCAGCAACAGCAGCGTCACCTCCGAGCACATTCCCTCGGTGAGCCCCATGGAAAGTGAAGAGTCTGATTCGGAAGAAACTGTTGTGCCCGTAGTTTCCCCGCCCAGAATGCAGCAGCCAACCATCATGCCCACACTGCCGTCCTCTCTTTTGGATGCAACTCTGGCGCCCATGTCTTCTGTCCGGTTTCACCAGATGACAAAGGCTCAGATCAAGGGTGGTGATCTGCTTTTCTTTGAAGGCAAACCCTTTCATTACTTGGAGCATTTGGATACCCTACCTCCTCGCCCTCCTAAGGTTGTCAAGCCAACTCAAGCAGCCGCCCAAAATCCCTATGCTGCTTATGCACCCCGAGACTCTCTGCAGTCCCTTATGCGAGTGGATCCACAGGCCCTCATGGGCGGGGGAGCCTACGCTATTCGTCTTTCATAGATGGATGAACTTTTTTCATGGGGCGGGCAGGGGATGATCAGGCAGCTGACTTTCCCTTGACCCATACTATTTAGTTAGTTTCCGTCTTGAGTGATGCATTTTTGAAATGCACAAGCTATTACATGATTCCCATTGTAAACCAAGGATACCTAATCACAACGTTGTTCCTAACTAACAGCACATTTTCACGCTAAGATAAACCTTTCGATCAACTTGCCACCTGTAGAATTCACTTCTCCTTTTAGCTACCAGCTAGCGAGGATGAATCGAATCCGTTCAGAACGATCTAGCTAGCTAGCTGGCGATGTCAAGCAACCGAATGCAAAGGTTGCCGTATCATTCCTTCGTTTCGTATCGTATCGGTACGGTACGACTGTACGTCACCGCTTGCAGGAGGGAAGTATCTTTCAAGGGTTCATTTCACTGGATAGGTGTCATGGAAAAGTGGTCAAAAAGAAGTCAACGAGGCAATACAAGCACACGGCGCCACCTGTTGACTGCTTTTTCAAACTAGACTAGTCTAAGAAGCAAACAGAGCTTTATTGTACGTTTCCTCCTCGACCACACTTGGAAGTAACAACCATGTGCATGGTGGCTGCGCACCAGAACTGCAGGCCTGCCTACAAGCAGCTACTGAACTGCCTTTTTGGACCACATGCCAACCAACAATCCAAGCAGCCGCAGAAGGCTTCCGTGTAGAAGCAACTACATTTTGCTTCGCTGCCAGGGCAGTAGCTGCTTGGCAACGCGTTCTTTTCCTTCTTGCTTGCTCCTTCATGTGCCTACTGCTACAATGCACGAAACAGGCAAAGCGCCAGTAGCAATTCTCCCTTCTCCCACCTGGCTAGCTGGTGTCAGTAGCTATTGCCATTCTTGTCTACTTCTAGCTAGCGATTGTGTCGCGACACTCTTGGTTCCAAGAAAGGTGGTGGTGGCGGCGGTGGTGGTGGGCAGCCCCCTGCCTGGCTTGTGGAATGGAGGACTAGCTTGACCGGCCAGCGTAGTATGGCCCCTCAGCACAGGCTCGTATCATTCTAGCTAGCACCAGTACATGTGCAGACTCCTCTGCGCAAGGATCCCGAGAAATTAGATCAAATGAAGGTTAACTTCAATCCCAATGAAGTGATTGCTTGCTTTTGTTAGTACATGTAGCTGCCTTGTAGCTAACGACTTGAACCCACGCTCTCAGGTGCTGCATAGCTACGGTGGTAATTCAACCCAGCAGAACTAGAATGTAACACTTCGGGTGGTCCAGCAGGCAATGCGGCCAACCAACCAACTATTAATAGCTACTAGCTAGCTAGACCTACTAGCTAGCTAGTGTATTAGCGAGTTTTTCAGCCTCGTCCCATCCCGTCGCGAATAAATGCACGACGTACTAGCTAGTACCGTAGCCAGGAACACCATGGTCCGCGGGAGTTGCCATCTCCAATTCGCTACGGGTGCCAAAAACGTCCAACTGAAGAAGATACCAGTATCCAGTCGTGGACGTTGACACACGACTAGAGCTGGCTAGTAACCGCTGATGCCTTGGCGGATGCGACGCCGCCTTCTACAGTTTCCACTTGATTTGTCCACGACTTTTGCCTTGCTTGGTGCTGTCTTGGTGCTTTATTGCTTTGTCTGTTCCTGGTGGATACTGCTCGTATCGCAGCAACAAGAACAAGAGGTTGTTGTACTTACTTTTCGTGTTTACTAAGAAGCAGAATTAATTGAAAAAAGAGAAACGAAACCAAGATGACAATCGACAAAGGAATGAGCATGAACGGCCAGCCCATTGGGGGAGGAGGCGTCAGTATGAACGGACAACCGACGGGTGTTCCTATGAACGGAGGAGCACTCCCGGTAGCTCACGCCACACCAACCCAATCCGCGGCCGCTCCTCCTCCTGTGGCCTACCCCATGAGTGGGGCTGCTCCGCCAGTGGCATTCCCCATGCACGAACAAGAAAAGATTGGATCCAAGTGCTGTGGGTGCTGCTGTGATTTCCGCCGAGCCGTCATTATTTTGGACAGTTGCTTGATGGTCTTGTCTGTCCTGGGTTTGATTTTCCTTGCACTCCCTTCCGATGTCTCGGAACAGCGTTACCAGCAACTGGGTATTGATGACGACCAAGTCGCGGATGTTCTTATGGAAATGACTACAATCACTCAAATCATTTCGGGGTGTGGAGTAGTGGCGTTGGCGGTGCCTGTATTTGGAGCCATGAAATACAACACTGGAATGGTTGCCTTTGGCATTGCTTGGTTCGTTATTACGTATGTGGCTCAAGTTGCCATCGAAGTGGTTTACACGGGAAAGGCGAATGATGTGGGACAAAAATCGTTCAGTCAACCATTCATCAACTGGATTGTCAGTGCCATCATCAGTGCTTTATTCGTTTATCCACATGTGGGTTTGATTAGTGAAATCAACCAAGGAATCATGTCACAGGCAACCTACCCCCGAGAAGCATTCTCATGCTGCTGTGGTCCCAATTAATAAAGAAGAATTTACCGGCAAACAAGGATGCAGTGAGTCAGAGTGGGGGGCAACAACTTGCAACAATAATTATTTGATGAGGACCGGACTCCAGTGTGGACCCAAAATCGAAACATTGCTTGACGCGATGATTTTCGATGATTTGTCATGACTTTAATAAATAAATGGAATACCAGTAGCAACAAAACAACGTTCACAGAATAGAGTCTCTTTGTGATAAACAAAATAAATGATGTCGTAGCATTGTTGATGTTGTCGTGTTTTGCAGCAAAGGCTGTGAGGACAAAATCATCCGAAGCGCACCTGGCGGATACGGTACGGTATAAGGCATGCACCTCCCCTACTAGGATATTCTTTCTTTTGGTTTCCCTGGTACTACCGTAGGTACCGGTATGCCCGACGGAGCGCCGCATTGCGCAAGTGCTGGTGGAAGTCCTCTCGTTTCGTCCGTACAGCAAGCAGTTTCCCTTCCTTGTTTGTACAATGCCAACCAAGCTAAACCTGTTCCATGGTGGCAAAGAATTCCCCCATTAGCTGCTTCATCTGGTCCTTCAATTCGACATTGCAAAATGCATGATTGACCGAATCCAATACTATCCGTTTCAGTGTCTCTGTTGTAACTCCTTCTTGTGCCTTGGCCAACAATACAAGCTCTTGCGTGGCATCCGTGTTAAACACACCCGGGTCGTCGGTTCCAATGGATATGGGATAATTGTCGTCTAACCAGTACTGTAGTTGCGGGTGTTGTCGCAGACCATGAATCAAATCCCCGCCCATGTGTTTCGCTAGTTCCAATGTCATGACATTGCTCGTAGGGCAGGATTCCACTGGCACCTGGAGCGTCGTGAGCTCGTTTCGCAAGGATTCGGGCAAGAGCAAGGCGTGACCTAGTCGATCCGGTCGAAACTCGAAAATGGCCAAGACTTCGTCTCGTGCTTTGGCAAGGCGTGGGTCTGTGTCATCGGGTCCAGCTGCAACCGGAACTTCGCCTTTTTTCCGTACCGTCCAAAAGAAAAACCATCCAATGTCAGCATTTATGTTTCATTCAGTTTTGTGAATTCGCAGACAGGAAGTCTTTCCTGCTCATTGCAGCAGAACCTACTATTAATAGTAGAAACTGACAAATGGGGCACTGTACTTACCACAATGAACCGTTGTTTTGAGTCCAGCCTTTCGGGCTCTGGAGAGAGCAGGTTTAAAATCTGTAAAGTCATTTTTGGTGGGGTTGCCTCCAATGTCCATTCCAACCACCAAAGAGTTTGGTTGTTGTGAGAATTCAATTGCCAAATCCGCATTTTCTTGGGCTTCATGGACGGATCCAGAACGATCGATCGATACCAGAAAGCGACACTTCATGGGCAATCTGGTTGTCGTTTCGGTACTACTGGTACTGGTAGATTGTTGTTGATATCTCTCTTCTTCGACCTCTTGGAATTCCTTCATGACCCGCAGAATGGTTTCTACGTATTGTCGTTTGGAGAGAGACTGGTTGATTCGTTTGGGAGTGGATCGCAATTCCAGGTAGGCCACGTGATGGTTGGCAAAGTCTTGCAACGCTTCTCGAGTGATTCGTTCCAATGAAGCCAGGTCATTGACACACTTGGGAATCACGGCAAACATGTCAAAACAATCCGTCAGAGACCGAGGTTTGACATTGTACATGAAGGAATTGACATGATCGTCGTTGTTAGTATGATGATCAAGAGAGAAAAGCTTGGCGGGAAGTTCCACATTCTTTTGTCGCGCCAAATCGAACAAGGTTTCCTCTCGGATACAACCATTCAAGTGAGCGTGCAACTCCACTTTGGGCATTGATGCGACGAATTGATACAGCTCTTTATCATCATCTTCCTTTGACTTTGTCATGCTATCTATTGCTTGCGTCGACTTACTTGTGCAAGCGCCATGAGGAGTGATTGGCACGAACAAAGAGGCGCAAAAGAACAGGAGAAAAAGCTCTTTCGACAAAAGATGACGTCAGTGACACCTCATCATTTTTTTTCTTCTCTCTCTCAACCCTCACACCTCACACCTGGACCGTAAAGATCCCAACAAACACAACCTCTTTTGCTATACAGCGTACTCATCGCAGCAACCATGTTATTCCAAGCGTCTCTACTACTTCTTCCAATGTACCTTTTGCTGATACAGTCCTTGCTATTGCGCTCTGCCGATGCATGGGCACCAGTAGTCTCTCCTCGGCCAGTTCCGGTAGCAGCATATACTAGAGAGTTTGAGAGCCGTCTTTCTTCTCGAACGTGCCGTCATTCTTCGACGAACTACCCAAGAAGATCCCTTCTACTAAGAGCAGCCGAGGAAGAAGAAGGACAGTCCACAGACGACGACAAGTTGTCAACACTTGACAAGGAGTCTCTCATCGAGATGGAATGCTTTATCTACTCGCGCAAGGATGCTACCGGTACTACCAAGCTGGAACTGGGTGTGCTGGAAGAAAGCGTCCTGCAACCAGTATGTGCATGGACCACGGAAGAAGCGTTTGATGATTACATTGAGTTTGTAGTGGATGAGGAAGATCGATATTCCGTAAAGCTGGAAGATGTGACTGTGCATTCCTTGATCCCCGCCGATGATCTCTCCTACGGGAGTCGACAAGTCGGTGGAGGCAAGGGACCTGGAAATCCTCACGGAGAAGAAAGTGAACTGCTGTACTACATTCGCAAAGAGGCATTGGAGGGGATTGAAGTGACGGTCAAACCAGAACTCGAAATCACATGGTAGTGGTCTTTTGTAGTATTCTATACAGTATTTGGAAACGAAAACAGAGAAGATGTAGCTGATATGCCCCCTGGGTCGTCTCCGTTTCCAGTACTAGTTTAACTTGTCTACTAATACAGGATAATGGTGAATAGAATCGAATGAATCATGTGGCCTATATTTAGGGTTTAGGTTTTGCAATTTTGAAGTCAACGTTGTGTTAAGTGGAGGGTTGGCTCGCTTCCGCTGGGAGCTTGGTGTCTTCTTTTTCCTCTGTTTCCCGCTCTTCGTCGGAACTGGGGTATTCGGTAATAGGATCGTGAGCAAGTTCGGCAGCTT